TTGAATTAATAATTTCACCTGCATCAATTAAAGCAAATTGATTTTTCATTTTATATTATATCGTTTATTTTTTTGGCAAATAAAAATTCACATTGTATAAATAAAAAAGATCGACGGGCAACTCGATTTCCTTGTGTGACAAAATATTTTATATTTATTATATGTAAATTAGCCCCTATTTGTCATATATAAAATTCTCTAATTGTTATCCGATCTGGCACTTAAGGGTAGGGGAATCACGTGGTATATTTAATAGTAAACAATGTATGGCGCGCCGAACAGGTCAAAAGGTTAATATTATCTTTCTTTTTCTTTCTCGAAATAATCGAATTCAATTAATAACAATGATGACATAACAAATCAGGAAGCATGCATATTCTACAGGACCTTGGCTAAAAGCTATGTATACTTATTCTGAAATTTTGCTTAAAGTATATATATAAAATATGATTGATTTTGGACCGAGATTGATGTATCAAAAAAAAATTTTGCATAAAAATCATTAAACTTTATACATTTAATAAATAATATTATTTTGAATAAATTATTTAAAACAATGTTGTTTAAATACTACTACTTGCGTGATCGATTCAATCATTAACACCAAAGGGACAAAATTAATTATTTGCAATAAAAGCTATTTGTTTGTTTTTTGATTTAAATATTAATTAATGCATGGTTATTTATAATAGTAGTAGTAATAGTAGTAGTAGTAGTAGTAATATAAATTCTTTATTTTTAGACCTGTTTTCGAATCAATTTTTTTAAATAAAGTAGCACCTTTGCTAATGAAGAATATTCGTTGAATATTTGTTTAATTGGATATCCGATTTTTATTCAAATATTATTAATATTTTATCCAACCGAATTAAATTCTAACAATAATTAATTAACTGGAATGAATATAACGCATGATCTGTGTTATAAAAGTGGTAAAACTAGCAGTGGAAGGAGTGACCTAGAAACGTCCCAATCAAATGTTAAGGATCGACAATCCCAGGATAAAAGTTATAAGATACGCAAATGGTCTCTAATACAACGTGTGATCTAGTTTGTTTATGTAGCGTTTGATTAGTTTTCGGGGTCCTAGTAAAAGTAGATTGGTAATAGTAGTATAATATTTTATATTAATACAAATTTTATAAATATTAGATAAACACTGCAATGATAATCTTTAATGTAAAAAAATTAAAATCTTAATATATAATAATAATACATACATACATTTAAATAAAAAATCATAATAATTATAATTATAATAAATCATTAACTTTCTTTTCATCATCATCAACATTATTATTACTATTATTACTATTATTATTATTATTATCATGATTGTTATTAATATTATTTTCAATATTTACAATATTATTTTCAGGATCAAGTGAAAGTTTATTCAAATCAATAAAATCAATCGCATCCCCTTCCCCATGCTCACTCTTAGTCGTTAAAAACGGGCTAGCAATTTCCAGCAATTTATCAATCGCCTCATTTATATTACACTCTTTACCATAAAAAACCTCTTTACATAAATCTGATTCTATGTTGGGGAACATGTTTTTAAGCGATTCTAATGATTTTTGGATATCTCGTTTGGTAACTCGGTTGACTTCTTCTTCTATATGAGCATAATCACGTGAATCATGAGATGATGTGGATTCTAATGATAATGACCTTTCCATTCTTTGTGGTCCCATTGTTATCATCTCATTATTAATACCAATACCATTGTTATTATTATCTGATAATAAATTTCTTGTGTTATATGATAACAGTTCATTTGTTGATAATCGTTGGGAGTTATTAGATGCATTAGCAGTGAAATTAGTAGTGGCATTGGTGGTGTTGATAGAAGCATTATTATATGGTGCTGATGAAGAAGCAGTGTTATTATTATTATTGTCATCATTGTCATTGAAATCAAGTTGATTTTGAATGTCTTGATTAAGATCTGATAATATTTTCCCTACAATATCTAAAGGTTTTTGAATTGTTTTCTGAGCAATAATAGTGCCTTTTTCAAATATTGCTTTTGCTTGTGCATGATTTATAATTGTACCTTTATTATTATTCTGAGCAATTGATCTGGATAATGGATGTATGGCATTTTCGTAATTAATTTCTCGAGTATTTTCTGCAAGTTTTGGTCGTTCTTTGTCAAGCTCCTTCATTGTCATCTCAATATTTCTAAAGTAGTAAAAAAGGACAAGTGTGAGAGTTTATGAAAAAATTTAATTGATTAATAAATTTTTAAAAATATTACTTGTCAAATTCTTCTTTTGTTATGGTCAATGAATGGAGGTCCATATTTTCAATAAAAGAAATTGCACTCATCTAGCATAAATGGTATGGATATATAATTAATATAACAATATCATTCTTTATAGCTCTTTATTTATGGATAAACCAAGACTTACTAAACTAGATAAATAATAACCAGCTTCAGATTGTAATTTTTCTGGAGTCCTAAATCTATAAATATATCTAACCATAGCAAAATTGGTGATATTAGTATGAAGGTCTTAAAATACATTTTTGAATACATGTTTTGACTTACTGAACATTAGACATCAAATATTCGGGATTTGCTTTTAAAATAACAAAAATTAATACTGGTAAAAATTTATCAGCTCCTTCTTCACCATCAACAAGTTTTATTAAACCTATTAATTAATTAGAAATTATTGTAAAAGACTGCTCTTTTTTATAAAAGATAATTAAAAGGTTTCTCACCATATATAACTTTACAACAATTAAGTATGCAAATAAGCTTATCTCTTGGAGCTTTATAATCATTTATCTTTAATAATTCTAAAAATGATTATAAAAAGAATATTTAATAAAGATATTCAATTAATTAATAAACAAATTTCCCTATATGTTTATACATACATAACATACCTTTTTTAGCAAAGTCCAAAAATGCTTCATTGTGTGGAGTAATCGGAATATCTAAATGTTGTTCTCTAACCCATCTAAATATTTCGATTTTTTGATATAAAATATTATCACGCTCTATATCATCAGTAACGGGTGGTCCTTTAATTGCAGGTGTAAAAGTTCTAAAAAAAGAAAAAATTTAAAGATTCGTTCACTCATCCATCCATTTATTTTTATATTTTCAATCTTTAATAAAAAAAACAATAAGACCCACAATTTGTGTAATCTATTCATCACTAATTTTTCTATTCCTTCTTTTGCGTTTTCAAATTCTTGTTCTGATGCATTCCTCCACAACTCACATTCACGCATTTTTCCTGTTATAAACTAACCAAAATAATAAAATGCATGTAAGTGAACTTTACAATAAATTGAATTTTTACAAGTATTCTTAACATACGTCTAAAAATTCGCGCACAAATTTGATTTGATCATTAATTGTTCTAGGATGCCTTTCAAATTCTAATTCAAAACTAAATAATTATTTCAATAAATTGCTTAATATATTTTAACATTATTAATAAAATAAAAAATAAGTAAATTAATTACTTTTTAACCATTCTTGCAATTTTTGTTGCATTTTTATGATCTATTTGCTTAAGAAACTTTGAATAATCAAATGGTATTTCTTTTTGATCCGAATTATTGTCATTTGATCTAGTATCGTTATTATTATCTGGTTCTTCATTTGTAATTTCGGTTGAGGTAGTTTCTTTTTCTTTTGACATGATTATACTAAAAAGTGTCCAAAAAATCGGTTCATATTAATGTGCAACAAGACCCCAGATTATTATAATTGAGGTATAATACTATTAACGGGGTATTTAATTTTAACCGGAGATGACATGGTTTTGGGTCTCCAATATTATTAATAAGTAGTTTTAGAATTGATAAAAATTGTTTCCAAGAGTTTCAAACAATTGAAATTCTTATGATCAAGTTTACAAAAAAATTGGCAATGAGTATTCCATATTTTTTTTATAAGTACTTTATAAGTAATTGATAAGCTTCTAAATGAATCAATAACATGACCGTTTAGATTCAATTGAAAGTTGGAATAATGGAAGATTATTCCAAATCTCCTTAACCAAAACTTACCATAATAATGATAACAATAAATGTCATAAATTAATAATAAATTTATCGGCTAAAAAGACATAGTTGGTAGTAGTAGATTACAACTTTAGGTCTGCTGTAAATTTATCTTGTGACTTTGATCAGCAGGTATAGTTTTATTGATCCTGATAATTTCTCCCTGCGATACGGAATGGACTCAGTGTATATTATATATTTTGGAATATTGATAAATTATATGACATTTAATTTGTGTATATTAATGATAAGTTAACTTTTATTACATCCAACTGCGGTGTCTTCAATGTTTGTTGAATGGCCCGTTGGTAGAGTTCGATTAATTTTTACTTGATAGTAATAGGTAAACGTTAGTTTATTACACCATTATTTTGACAAAATATATGTAAATTATAGATCAAGAACTTTGGTTCAGAAATAGTGGTAATGTAGATATTGTCTAGAAAGAAAATCAATCTTATTATATAATGTTGCAATTTTTGATGAAAATAATTAACAGTTTGAATCACTAATCTCTTATTCTGTAATGATATTAGTAATTTGATAGAAATATTCGTTTTGGAAACAATGTCAATAATACTGTAAAATGAATTGGTAAATGAATTGGTAATACTTGCTCCGAAATAGAAAGTAATGGTAATAATAATGTTGGTTATTTAGCAGACAATAAAATAGTATATGTAGATAATAATGATATTGGTTATTCAGAAAGCAGGTTCGGTGTATAAGTCGAAGAGATAAAATTTAAATGATAGTAATAAATATCAAGATAGATAATTTACGTTCATAATGTTAAAACAATAATTGTAATTTTAAAAATTCTTACTTAAATTTATTTTCGTCAGTCATGATTTTTTTTATTTCAGAGTTTGACTTATACCAAGGATTATGAGTCATGTCGATGGTTTTAATACCTCAAGATTTTTGCCTGCGTCCTTTTCGTAATAATTTTACAACATCTGAGAATCAAACCATTGAATTGCTTTAATGCTAATGTGAACGCGTCTCTTGAAAAATATCAACAAATGAAGAATGGATTATATCACTAACAAATTCGATTTGCATTATATGAAATAAATTTTATCATCAAACATTGAATGTAAAAAAAATGATTGATCTTGAAATACGGGAAACCGATCGACAAATAACCATCACATTGTAAAAATGAATTTAACTGTAGGTTATATTTACCCATGCAATTATAAATCTGGTAAAAGAGAAAATGGATCCAAGAAGATTTTTCTTTCCAAACTGAGAAATAAATAAACGAAATCCACCTTCTTCTCCTTGCTAGACTATACGCAAATAGTAATTTAGTGTTCTAATAGACTAAAGTTCCATATTCAATCCACATTTTCCCTATAAAATTTACATAATATCGAAATGAACTAACTATCTAATTATCAATTGAGAAATTGTAGTATGATTAAAAATCTCTAGATCTTCTGATGCAGCCAATTTAGAGAGTTCGCGGAAACTAGATAAAATATTGACAGCAGCACGTCCACTTGTGCAATATTTAAATAAAAAAGGTTTTAACGCGTCAAATTCAAATTCTCTGGAGAGGAATATCTACCAGAGTAAATGCACGAACTGGATCAATATTTATTTGTTCATGGAGAATATTGTGAGAGTCAGTTATCGTAATGTGGCGGATGGTTTAATATGGTTGTCAATAGTTGATTTTCTAGTAAAAATATTACAAGATTGTGGATAATTTATTATCTCTTTTAACATAAAATTTGTCCTTGTGTTTGGGGAGGACCCGCAAACTTCATAGATAGGTTACTGCCGCAGCTGGGCCAAATTAATATATAAATGTCAGTGATTCTAATAGGGTCAAATTATTTATAAATTTAAAAATTTAACAAATGTAACAAATAATCACTAATAGGGTCAATTAATTTAGCGTTAGTATCAATCTGTGGGTCAAATTATTATACACATCAAAGAGGTTGGTTAGGTTTAATAGGGTCAAATCTATTAGTATTAGTATTCAACGATTTATTAGGGAACCAAAAATTTTGTGTATCAAAATTTTTCCTTACATGCTCATTCAAAAACAAAACCAATATACATAGTAAATCTTTTATGGTTGGCTCAGTCTAAAGACCTCCTATTGCCGCGTCATATGGGCAAATTTCAAAAAATAGCAATTTTGTAATTCGTTAAAATTTAGGACTTCACGCGATTTTAGTTTTAAAAAATTATTTCTTGCTGCCAAATTTAGATACGATAGTCGAGAGCTAGTCTAAGTTTAGTAATGATCATAGTGGACAAATTCCTCGTGAGCATAGTAGAACTCTACAACAAGCTATTATATTAAAACTAAAGACCTATTCTATCAAATAATAACATTATTTTTTAAAAAGGTAGGACAGAAAGTATCTATACTTTTAAAAATTTAGGAGGTCTTTAGACTGAGCCAACTATATATTAAAAAAAATATTATAAATTATAAAAATCATCAGTTAAATCAATTGATTGGTAAAATTCTTTTTGTTACAGTAGACAGTTTCAAAATTTTTAATGTTAGTATATATTATGGGTCAAATTATGTTCTTTTTTCTAATGTTATTGCAAACCTTAGGGTCAAGTTATATATTAAACTTAAATTGGTCTGGGTCAAACCATTTAACAAACAGGAATTTTTGTTACTGACCTATCTATGAAGTTTGCGGATCCTGTTTGGGGCTATAGTACGTGACACAAAAAATTAAGGTTATGCAACATAATCAAGCCACCCCAAGTATAATAATAACAGGCGTAGCACAATTCGGAAAAAAAAAAATCCAAAGATTCAATATTAATACAGTAATATTAACTTAATACATAAATAAGCAAAATAAATGTATCACATATGATGTTAATTTTATTATATATTTTTACATTAATAAATTTAATTACAATTTAATGATGAATATTTATAATTTAATATTCTCTTTGATATTAATATCAAAAAAAAAGTGAAGTTAGAAAGAAAGATTAGTTGGATGATCAAGCAGTCCTTTAGGAATTTGGGCTGGTGTTGCAGGTCCATTTGGTCCACCACCAGTAACTGGAACTTTATCTGGATCTACAATTTGAAATTTAACTTCATCAAACCAAATTGTTCCTTCACCTAAAATAACAGTAAAATGTGAACATCATGGTTATGTTTAAAGAAATTACAACAAGAAAGACGGACTAATTTATCATTGACGATACTCACCAACCAATAAAAAGCCAAAGGCAAGCATAGCTGAATCTTCAGGAGCATCCAAGACAATTTTATATTCTGTCCAATCAGTAGTGCCTATAAATCAAAAGAAAAATTCATTATTAGAATAATAATAATTTGTAATCGTGAAGCAACAAGTAAATTAATCACCAGTGATCGATCGATTGTGCATATTATCAAAAGCGTGGGCTTGCTCTAACAAGAGATCGATTCGCATCCACATACCAGCCCAATCTATGACACCCTGAAACAAAAAGTAACAATAAAAAATTTTTTGTAAAAATTATTTTACATTTTTTTAGATGAATAATTGAATTGATTAAATAATAATAATAGAGCTTTTACGGTGGATTTTACGAAGCCTGACATTTGAACTCGTTTGCCTAATAAATGCGTAGGATTAAACATTTGCATCACAGTACCAAAGCCATTGGTTACTGCTTTATAGTTTGGGCCTGACACTAAAATACCACCACGTGCAGGCTATTCAAAAAAAAAGAAGCTCACATTATTATAAAACATTCAAAGGAAAAAGGTTTTGCAAATTCTTTGTCTTTTAAAAGTTCTTACTGTTGCCCCATAATATGTTGTGTAATCGACTCCTGCCAGGTAGTTGTCTGGCGCAGAACCGGCGAGAAACCACCCATCTGATAATGAAAGAATAAAAAATTATTTCATCAGAAGTTTAAATAAAGAATTGTAATTCTCGTCCGCAGCTTACCAGGTAAAGCATAACTAGGAGCTGCGGGAGCCTGAAACGAAAATTAATAAAATAAAACATTTAATCGATGTTAGTTGTCTTTAAATTAATCAATGAATTTTTAAAATTAAAGCTTCATAAAAATTACACAAAGGCATGATGGAATCCATAAGAACAAGATAAAAATCGAAATAAACGAAGAAAAATTCATTTTGTTTATTGTAATTATTAGAAAATTTTTTTTTTGACAAGAATTTAAAAAAATTGATGGAAAAAATTTCGAGGAAGCAATATACTCGTCCATTTTATGTCTGATTCATCAACGAACACAAGCATAGTAAATGAATAGCGACAAAAGGAAAGGTCTATCTTAAAACATTCTGGTGCAAATCTTTATTTACGAACAAATGAATTTTCCATCAATGAATTTTACATCTGTTTTTCTCCATCAAATGCTTTTTTCGAGTTCGCAATCAAGAAGAACTATTTTGGCAAGCAATTTATATATTTATAATTTTTCATCAATGAATTTTACATCTGTTTTTCTCCATCAAATGTTTTTTTCGAGTTCGCAATCAAGAAGAACTATTTTGGCAAACAATTTATATATTTATAATTTTCCATCAATGAAATTTACATCTGTTTTTCTCCATCAAATGTTTTTTTCGAGTTCACAATCAAAGAAGAACTATTTTGGCAAGCATTTTATATATTTA